CAAATCTACTTCAATTTGTCTTTTCAATTTATAATAATTATCCTCTTTAATTGTTGTACATCTTGCTGTCAGGTGGATCCCTAAATATTTTACCTTTTTCACAATCTGTATATCTAATTTTCCCACCAGTTCTTTTTTTTGTTTTTCAGTAATATTTTTCACTAACATTTTGGTTTTATCTTTATTAATTTTCAACCCCTCTACCTCAAAGAGAAGTTCTTTGAGGATTGGCTCCAGCATGAGTCCAAAAGCTTGGAAGACTAAATCTCTGGTCCTGGTGTCCGACCCAGATTGGATCCTGCACTACATAAACCAATACAAATAATCCTTATTTAACAATCAATCCTTTTATGACTGTTCAAATTTGCAATTGCCATAGACTGGGTGCTTTACGGTCATAAAGCACCCCCAGCCATCATAAATGGTCACGCCACAATCATAGGACCACATGTCATTATGGTTAGTACACAGTCAAGAACTGGGATTTGCAATGTTTTTTGCCAGTTTCTGGCAAAACACGTCACTTCAAATAAATGGTTTTTCTTAACAACTGCCACATTCACTTAATGACTATTGTGAAAAAGGCTAGAAAATTACTTCAGGTGATGTAGTGCCTCGGCTTACAAACACAATGTTTTATGACCGTATTTCTGGGCTCAGTTATGGACAGTAAGTCAAGGACTACCTATAGTTTTTTAACTGAGAATAATTACCTCCAAAGGATAATTTGGTCATGTTCTGGAAGTAATGAAGTAATTTGTAATTGCTTGTTTGTGAATCAAAGGTTTGAGGTTGCAGCTTCCAAGACACTGTTAAACAACAGAATCTGGTTGCTTTGTGGGGAAATGACATTATTTGAGACCAGGAAAAGAAGTAATTAGGTGAAACAGTTCAATAACCACTGATCTGAACAAACAGCTATACAACCCATCTTAAATTTCCAAACCAACTCAACTTTAACATTATTTAGTATCTTTTTAATAGGCACTTAGTATGTCAGCCAATGCTAGTATGTGCAACTTTCATTAGTTTAAGGGGCCTACCAGGCTTTACATGACAGGCAAGAGATTGCCTCTCAAAATAGGGAGAACACAGAAATTGTGATGAAAGAGTGTTTTAGAAGTTACAAATGATAACTGGGAGAATTGAGACTCTTTTTGTTTCTTAACAATTTTCTAAATCAGAAAGCAAATGCGTATCCCCTCCCTGCCCAAATTTTGGGCTGTGTTTATTATACAAAGCAGTGTGGAACTCATGTCACCCAGAGGCTACCCTTTTTTATTTTTTACAATTTTGCTTATATTTCTAGAAATCAATCCTATCCATTACTTTGTAGTTTCTCTACTTCTAGCTTGCAGTGAATTCCAAGAACTCCAATTGTCCGTGACCACTTAAAGATTACAACCCAAATTATTGAATAATTGACAGTTTAGTGTGTAATGATAATATGCAAAATACTTTAGTGCTTAACAAAAGTAAAGAAAATAAAAAGGGCAGGAGGGAAGAACAGAGGTGGAAATAAATAACAAGAGACACCCGTTTTCTACTTTCTGTCTTTCAGAGTCAGCCTCTAAAATCCTTACGCAAGCTGTTGCATCTTTCTTCCTCCTCCTCCTCAAACCATTCGATTCCTTCTGAACCCCGATTCCAGCCTTTACCAAATCAGCCAGCTAAAACTTCTTTTTCTGAAGTTCGAATTTATCCTATGAGTCAAGCTTCCACTACCAGCAGCAGCAACCTACGTCAAGAATCCCAATCAAAAGGCAGAGCAGCTCTTCAGCTCCCAAGCCAGATGGAACCAAGCTGGCACGTTTCCCCAGGGAACACAAGTGCCAGTGAGACATCATCATACTCGGATCAGATGGCTTCGAAAAGTGGGCAAAACGGGCATATATATAACCGAACAAACCGATCTCGAATGCCAAATCTGAATGATTTAAAGGAGACGGCTTTGTAATTATATCCAAGAAAGTGATATTGCAGGGATTGACCGAGGGATATGGTGATGCTGGTGATTGGAGTAATGATTGTACTTGCAGCTTTACAAGAGTGTGCAATAGAGTATGTGTAGCTACTACTACCACATCAATAGGGATAGTATAGTGAAATGAACTTTATAAATTGCCATTCACACAATATAATAGCAAAAGAATGTGCAATTCAGGGAGAATGAACTATATGCCCTTTTCTCTCAGCTTACATTCCAGCTTAGTATGCATATTTGTCTGAAAGCTATTTTGACACATTGGAGAATTTAAAAAATATTTAGACGTATGCCCTTTTAAAAAATATTGCTGCCTAAATTTAAAAAAAAACTAAATAAGGTTTATGTAATATATTTGTATCCTTAATATGGTTTAAAGTTTTAGTTTATTTGTTTTTAAAACTTCCATATTTGATAAGATTTGTAATATTATTTATTGTCTAATTGTTATATCACATTTTATGTTATAACATTATTTGGAGCTGTTTGGAACATTGTTCTGAAGTGAAAACAGCTACAGTAATTTCTACAAAAATTAACATATATTACATCAAGAATATTTTATTATAAATATATGTGTGTGCGCGCGCTATGTGTGTGTGACTCTATATTTATATAATAAATAATTGTCTTTTTTAAAAGATATTCACTTAAAGTATTGTTATGACACTATCTGCCATATTTTTATACATTTGTGATATTAAGTGCAGTATTATACTTAATAATAAATGGGAACTAAATAGTGTGACTGTAACAATATGATTTTTACTCCCATCCTAGATGCAGTAATATGGGCTATATCTACTGATCTTCTGCTGATGAGAGGTTCATGATCCAATAAAAGAAATCAAATGTGCTATGTTGCTTTTCCTTGTGGCTCTCATCCCCACCCTTTCTCCCTTTTCTTCTGATAAAAGCTTTTAAGAACTCAAAGAACCTTTTGTCAGTTGAACAACAACACTGAATATATCCCATTATAATGCCACAAGTAAAACAATTTCTAAGATTTGCTGTAGACATTTTGATTGGGGTAATAGATTAAAAGCTTCAAACCATAAAAACATAAAATCATATGAACAGCAGTGTTGCTTCCCCTCAATGTATATTTAGCTTTCCTGTTCATATCAATGTGAAATAAGCATTTGCATTATGGAGGTAGACATCTGGTGTGCTTGCAATCTTCTACCCAGGAAAACCGACCCATAGCAAGAAGAGTAGATGCTCTTCCATTGAATACATGGGGTGAAGACCAAAGAGCCACAGCAAGAGATGCCAGTGGCAAACCAAAGTTGGCATGACACAGCACTGTAAATCATGGTATAAGGTTTTAACTTAATATGTTCTCTGCACTTTGTTTGGAATAGGACTAAACAGAAAGTAAAATACAATACAGAAGTGTAAGAAGGACTGTCGCACTTCCATTTTGCTTCTAAGATTTTATAAAAAGATAATATTGATATTTAAGGGAAAAATCATTTCTAATGAAATTTAATCCCCCCATATCACTTATGAGAATAGTTCTGTGAACATGTTTCACTCACCCAGTGTGTATGATATTTTCTAATTTCTTATCAAATCTTAGGAATTTTTAAAATGGACTTCTAAATCTAGCTAATAGTTATTTGCTTATAAGAAATTCTCAGGAAATTATTTCAAACTTATTTTTCATTCAGTATGGAGTTGGTCAGTGAAAAAAGAATGAAGACAATAGTGTCAGAACAATACATTTTAACTCTCAAATGTATACAATATATTATTGAATAAACTCCATAACAATTGACCTGGACATTATATAGATGGTGATGCTTATATAACACAGATGAATGGAAAGATGTAATCTGGTAAATGTATGTGTTTTTTTTAAATGTTATATTTCAAAGTTTTGAACACAGTATTTACCCCATTAGATAATCCAAAATTTTCAGTGGTGATTGTTGATGTCTAGTTTGCTGTATAGAAAATAGGCATTATAGTAATATATAAAATTCATGGCTAATAACTGTGGAAAACACAGTGCAAACTATGACAGGGTGATTCAGGCAGTCAATTATGTTTGTTTAATTCATAGGGTGTTTTTGTAATTTAATACACAGTCACCTCCTGTGTATGTTCCCAATATTTCTGGCTGCCTAGCTATATTTTCCAGAAAAAGATATCCAGACTCAAATAGTGCTGTTTGAATGTGGCAAATAGTTTTTATTTGGCTTATATGTAATTTACAGAGTAATACTTCTTACTTTGCTAGTAATTTGCACAATTTATAAGGCTGCTTACAGCTCTTTTGATTCATAGATGTCTAACAGAAAACATTTAGTAGTAAATTAGATATATAGAGAATTGCTATTTGTACTACTAGATGTTTCAGATAAGGGTACCCTTTTTAAGCTTAAATTTGGAAATGTGTGAATTTTATTTTTTGGGTGTTCCATAAAGAAAATTATTTCTTTTAGAAAATGAAAAAATGTATACATTCAGATCTGTTAATAGAGAGAACATTTCAAAGGTTTTGCACTATACTTAGTTTATGTGTCCACGTTTTGTAATATATGTAAACTTGTAAATATGCAAAGATGCCCCCCCAAAAAAATTATTGGCTAATGGAGATTTCTTAACATTATAAGAAGAGCAAAGCCTATTATGCATTCAGCTATGATTAAATCTAAGCTTTTTTTTTCTTCACTGAGATTACGTAAATACATTGCTGTTCTCTGTACTTTTATAAGGATAGTGCAGCTAGTTTAGGTGATTGTGTTCTGATAGGAGCAAAAGAATCTATTATAGTTGTGTATATCAATAACTGCACATTCTTCCCAGGAAGGTTTGTTGTATATTTTCTTTTTCCTAGAAAAAGAAAACAAAAATGTTTGCACCTAATTTATTGACAGCAGATTTTAAAAATGTCAAAAAGCTTTACTTAATAATTTTGAAGAGTCCCCGTTTGCCAATGAAATGTATGGAAGCATGGTTGAACAGATTTTTGAAAGTGGAATTCTGCTTTCTGAATCTTGTGCACACTATTGAGAAGTGTTGCATAATATTTCATATATTTTCTAGTATAAATAATAAATAATATCAAAAGATATTTTCCATCCCTTAATCTCATTTTCATTACATTTTGAGTAATTAATAAGTTAGTAAAGGAATTACTGTGGTATGGATACTTTTGCCATTCTCTGAAAAACATTTAGTAGCTTTAACCTCTGGAAGGGTTGATGGTTTCACATGTTTAACATATTGTATATTTAATTTTATATATCACAAGGCTTCCCATTTCTCTGTTTCTAAATTCTCAGATATACTGAGCTCAGCTTTCCCTTTATTTCCATAGAAATTTGGAAAACTAAGGTAAGTTGCATCCTTAAAGAGAAAAAATTATTTAATATTTCATATGATTTTTTAAAATAAATCTCCTTTTTATTTTGCAAACATTCTATTTTCTATTGCCCATTTTTCTCTAAAATATCACCCAAAGAAATAGTATTTCATAATCCACATTGGTAACTGTTTCCCCATTGCCTTAAATACATTCAGCGTTTATTTTTATGTTGCATATTTCAATTACAATTGAAACTTGAATGGAATTTTGTTTCAAAAATATCTTAAAATCAAGCTAAGAAGAATAAATGTTTTTAAAAGTTCCCTTATTTATAAAACAATTTAAATTTGCAAAAGGAATTATATGAGAAAAAGTGTTTATTTGGAAGTATTTATTTGGAAGTCATTTAGCATATATGATATAAGTTGTTCTGTGAGGGAAAAAAATGACACTGACTTCTGTCTAAACATTCTTGATTAAGAATGTGACTGAGGTTTTTTTTTATTTTTATTTGTTTGTTTGGTGTTTGCTGTATATAATGTTGATTATGTTTGGTATTAAGAAATTGTTTTCATGCAGTGAATTTCCTCAAGAGTGTACTGAATTTCTTTGTGCCAAATTTATATATTATATTTCATTGAGGAAGCCTTCATTGAGGAAGGCTTAGGAAAATGGGATGTAGTAATTTTCAAAAGATTTTATTTCCCTTATTTGCAGTCTTTAAAAGATAAATTAAACTGTGATATTATTTTCTATTCTAGAAGTGTCTCTATTTAAAAAAAAACATCTTCCTCATTTACTTGTCATAAAGCTGGCTTGTACATGAGAATTTGTAGCAGATTGCAACAAAAGCCATTATTTTATCCTCTGATAACTGATACTCAATAATTTTTAATAAAAAATAATAGTCTCCAAGACAAATGAACTTGATAATGACTCTTTATTTCCTAGTGTATTTTCTTAATTCCACTGTTATGAGCCTCATAAAAGAGCTTATCCTGGCATTTATATAATTTTTAAAAATATTGTATTGCAGAATTTCTAAAATTTCATGATGTAATTTATATTGGAGAATTAAAGGCTGGGGATAGGAAGTCTGATGCTTGTTCAAAGTAGTTAACATAAGCAGTACTGTTTTGTTTCTTTTTAAATCAATAGAAAAATGTTGAAACTGTTCACTTCAAAATAGTGTTATGAGTGATAAAAACTCTCATATGATACCCATGAAATTACCATTTTATTACTATTTCTGATAAACGTAAATCAAGTTTACACAGCCAGACATTTTTGTTAGATGATTGTTGCCAAATGTATAACAATGGTTTTTAAAAACCTGCTTTTGCTAGAATGCTGTTAGTGAATCAACTTCCTTTTTTGATCAGCATTTTGATCATTAGCATTTTGAGACTTGCTTCATTCTTTTCGTAAACTAAGGGTCCAGTAAAACTAGGTGCTTGCTACAGATATTGAACAGTGCTTCCAATTCATTTTAAACCAGCTCAGCATATTTTCACATCACTTATATATTCCTTCATTTTACATTTATTTCAGTTGTTATGTTACTTGTTTTTTCTCCTTTGAAGATAAATAGGTTCCATTTTGAATCAATCATTATTAGATCTGAGCAGAATTTTTTGTTTTAAGTCTCCAGCTTTCCTTAAAAAATAAATCTAATAAATTGGTTTATATAAAAATTATTTGCAAAATGTAATGCACAGATGAGCAAGGTTCATCATCTTTTTCTGAAAATGCAGGAAACAACTATTTGTGAAAATGCAATGCCCTGGTAAATCAACACTAATTCTAAAAGCAGAGAAAGGATTATTTCAGATTTCTACAATTAGGCACTTTCTAAATGTGTGACTACAGTTGATAGGATTCCCAACTAGCGTACTCATTCTGACTGGAAATAGTGGGAAAGCATTCCATTATAAATATAGAACAC